TACTCTCCCCCCCCCCCCCCCACTCTCTCTCTCTCTCTCTCTCTCTCTCTCTCTCTATCTCTCTCTCCCTCTCTTTCTCTCTCTCTCCCTGTGTGTGTGTGTGTGTGTGTGTGTGTGTGTGTGTGTGTGTGTGAGTGTGTATGTATGTGTGTATGTGTGTGTGTGGTTTTAAGCGAAATATAGGAAGAAACACCTCATTATTCCAATATCAGAATTGCTCGCTATTCCAATGTTGAGTTTCACGCAAGCTGGCTATTCCGATGTGTAGCCGCCCACACGGGCGTCTTTAAGTACTACCTCGTTTGATGTCTTTTCCTTCCAGGAATTTCTCAACCGTCTCCAGAGAATCCAAATTTCTATAGCTTCTATATTTTATTTTCGCTATCTTTAGTGACACTGGAGAATATCGTTGCTGTCGCAAGCAATCCACTTAAGTTGAAAGTTCGAGATTTTTCAGCCTGCTGAACGTAGCGGGGAAATATTAAGAGTTGGTTTGGAATGCCCCCAAAAAAGCAAAACATCATATTTGTACCATAACGAGCTGTTTGCTGGTCCAGTGTTAGGTTAGAAAATACATTGTCATGTGAACAATAGATGTAAAATCGCTCCCTATTCCAGTGTTCTCATAACGCAAGCCGGTCGCTGACAAACACGATCAGAAAAAGACAGAGCAGCTTTTGAGACACTTGAATAGACGTAAAAGCCTTGAACTTCTAGTTCTCACTGACAAAATTGAGGTCAAACAAGGCAGAAGATGACCAACACCTATTCACTTGGAATACCTAATTATTAGATGGGTGACGGGGAAATGCTCAGGATAATAGTACCATAACTTTTAAATACATTTTTCAAAGAGCGATGTAGCAACGAAATGAATGGCAAATCATGATCTGACGATGATCTAGCACTTGATGGGGATGATCATGATTAGCATCTAACATTGCTCAAAAAGAAAAATCGTTCTTATTGCACATTAGAATGCAACCAAAATAATAGTTACTCTCTCTCTCTCTCTCTCTCTCTCTCTCTCTCTCTCTCTCTCTCTCTCTCTCTCTCTCTCTCTCTCTCTCCCTCTCTCTCGCTCTCCCTCTCTCGCTCTCTCTCTCTCTGTATATATTTTTTCACCCAGTCTGTCTGTCTGATCTCCACTCCCCACCTTTTTGTCTGTTTGTCTGTCTCTCTTTAGAGTTTACACACGTTGTTTTGTTAGTTTATCTGTTTGTTTGTTTGTTTGTATGTTTGTTTGCTTGTTTGTTTGTTTCCCATCGAAAGTTAAGTGCATTGAATTAGAATGCTTAAATTTTAATTCTCCCTATGCCTCGGTAATGGATACATTTCTCTTACCTCTAGGACATGCCTACCACCTTTAACCGAGGGATGCTCTTCAACGTCGGTTTTTTGGAGGCTGAGAAAATAGACAATTTCGACTGTTTCATCTTTCACGATGTCGATATGCTACCTCTAAATGATCATTGCTTCTACCGCTGCAGTTCGAACCCCAAACACCTAACAGCTGCCGTAAGCAAGTGGAAATATTCGTGAGTGGAGCCTCAAGTTTTAATTTTAACCTAGTAATAACATTAAAAACAATGATAGATTTCACTTTTATAGCACACTCTTTTACTTAAGTTTTCACCAGTGCGCTTTAAAATGATTTTAAAAAAAACAAGCCCCATACGGTTCTAGTAGTGGTCATTTCCGTCCTCTCTTCCTCCCCCTCCCTCCTCTCTCTCTCTCTCTCTCTCTCTCTCTCTCTCTCTCTCTCTCTCTCTCTCTCTCTCTCTCTTCCCCCCCCCTCTCTCTCTCTCTCTCTCTCTCTCTCTCTCTCTCTCTCTCTCTCTCTCTCTCTTTCGCTCCTCTGTTTCTCTCTGATAATCTTTTAACCCTCTGCCATAAAAATATGCACACACAAACACACTTACACACAGATATATTCAAACAAACACACACACACACACACACACACACACACACAGAGAGAGAGAGAGAGAGAGAGAGAGAGAGAGAGAGAGAGAGAGAGAGAGAGAGAGAGAGAGAGAGACACACACACACACACACACAAGCACATGGTTTTTGATTCCCAACCACTTTATTCAGAAAGTCATAAACAAACAATACAAATAGTATATTAAATCGAAATAAAAGAGTATCTGATTGGGATGGGAAAGGACTTAACCAGACTCACACAAACACATGTACACACACGCTCAAACAGAGAGGGAAAGAGAGGAACACACACACACTCACACACACAC